AGGCAACAAGGAGTGTGGATGAAGAGCGGAAAAAGGTGTGCACATGGAAGATTTGTCGGCTCGTAAAGTGGTCATCAGAAGATGCAATAACATCCATTTCCATATTACAGGCTCAAGATGCACTTGAGAGTGCCAAGAAGAACCTTCAGAACCAACTGGCAGAAGAGAAGGAGAAGTATGGGGCCAGGATTAAATCCCTCCTCGAGAAAAACAAGTCACAGGTAAGCTTGCCTCTACTTTCACGGATAGTGCCAAAGATTGAGCCAGATCAGCTTACAGCTGTCTTAATAGGTGTCGGAGCTTGAAGAGACTCATCGTGCATCATTCGCCTCGTTTGTGGAAGAGACTGAAATCAAGTTGCGGCTTAAAGAGGAAGAGTGTCTGGCTGCTATTGAGAAGGTGAGCTGGCTGTGCATTGATGAACTGACTTCAAGCATCTAATTCTATCCTCTGCAGGTTGAGTCAAAGCTTCAATCCACAGAGGATTTGATCACGAGATTAAAGCTCCAGCAGAGCGAAGAGATGGCGACTGCAAGAGCGTTGATGGAGCAACAACATGCTGAGGTAAGCACAAGTACTCTTGTGCTCACAAAACGCACCAATATAAAACCCTCTAACACTGGTTTCCATGTCAAGGCCATTGCGTCATTGACGGAAGAGCTGGAAGGGAGGATTGAGCTGGCCAAGACAGAACGTGAGGAAGCCCTTAGCGTTCAGATAGAAGAAATGACACGTCAATCCACTGAGGTCAGTGTACTCGCTTGCCTGCTTATGAATGAGACTTTTGGCAAGTTCCCAGGTCCATAAACTTTCGTGTTAATGCAGCTCAAAGAAAAGTTGACATCTAAGGATCGGGAGTACCAAGAGCTACAGGAGGTACACAGTGTTGATATGGACAAGCTGAAGGAAATTAATGACCTGCGACACTCAGAGGTAAGCCTCTTGTTTTTTGCTGCATTTGCATATAACTGTGTGTAATCTTATGTGGCAATATTCTATTTGCAGCTACAATCAAGGCTTCAAGGGATGGAAAAGAAGTGCAAGCAGCAGCAGGAAAACCATGAAGGCATGCTACGCAATTTGCACGATGAGCTGGAGCGGTGCTTGGCAGAGGTAATGTACCTAAACAACCTTGATATAGTTCTTGAAACAAAAAAAGTATCTTACCGAGTTTACATCTTGACTTGCTGCAGGCACAGGAGAAACTGGAGAAAGCTGAAAAGAAATGCATGCGACTTGAGGAGGAAAGCCGGGCCCGTGAAACTCAACTCAAGGAGAGTTACGAGCAACAAATTGAGGAGGTGAGTCAAACAGCAAAGATCAAATTGATGTGCTCATTTTGCTTCACACCGAGCTAACCAACGTATCGCACCTGTGACAGTTGCGACAGAGTGAGATAAGATTGGAAGAGGAATGCGCAACAACAAGAGTTGAGGCGGAGGGTCACATCAGCAAACTAAAGATGGAACACGAGAACATGCTGAACAAGCTCAACATGGAGCATGAGGACAGTCTTCGAAAGGCTCAAATGGAGCACGAGAACGTTATCAAGAAGAAAGACCTGGAGCATGACAGCGTCCTTAAAGCTATGAGGCTGGATCATGAGAACGCACTGAAAACTCAGCGGATGGGATTTGACAGTTCTTTGAGGAAGAGGAAGCTAGAACAAGAATCCTCTCTCAAGTCACAACGTGACAGCCTGACAGAGGAAACGGTAAGACTCATAAACGCTGTGGAATGCGCTGTCAGCACTTCGTCTTAATCAATTATCCAAGTTAGTGCAGGCCAAGTCAGGTGAAGCCAAGGAAGCCATGGAGGCTAAGGATGTGGAATCAGGCAAAAGTCAAGCTGCACTGCATCTGGAAAAGGTAGAAATGGAATGAGCAGAACGTCTGGGACTTGTTCTTCGTGAGTATTGACTTATCCAGTATCTCGATTGTGCACAGAAGTTGGAAGACTCCACTCCTGCGTCCAATGGAGCAGCTGAAACACAGAATCTTACTGCATCGAAGACACTGAAGTCACGGGTGGGTTGTCCACGCTTCTGAATATGACGTTTGCAGGGTGAGCATTCTCTTACAAACTCTGAATTTACAGAAAAAACTTTCGGGGAAGAAGTTGAGGCTCCAGCCAGCAATATCTACACAACAGCAGGATCTCGTTTTGGATGCAAAAGCTGCTACTTCCAAACAGGCAAGTACCCTTCAGCAATTCTTTACCTTTGGTGACGAGAGAGTCTTGACGAGCAATCGAATGCCTTGGTTTGCCCCAGTTGGATTTCATCGCCAAAGCTACATCGACGTTTTCCAAGAAGAAGAAGCTGAAGCACATGGTAATACATCTCTTCTTATGGTGATTCTTCTATTTCCAATTCCTCTCCTGACAGCATCTTAAATTACAGGAAGCTGACTACAAGCCTAATGATTCCAAGGTGGACTTCACTAAGGTTTGTTCAAACTCCATCTTTCCATGCTTGCTCATTTGTTCAAACATACAAAGCTGACTATTCCACAGGTTACAACTGGATACAATGCTGACTGGCAGGTTTCCGAAGTTAATGTGGATGACCCCTACGCCTTCTGATTTAAATTCAGAGATGCTGGCTTTGGCGCCATTGCTCTCATGCTTCATTTCATTATTCAAGTGTCATTCAGACCCGTGTTTATATATATTTTCACTTGTACTACACCTATACATTTAGCAACAGTTTGTTCTTCATGGTTGAGACTTGCCGTTGAAAGAATGGTTTCTTTGACAACAAGATAGGCATAATCAGATTCCATTGTCGACTATAGGCATAATCAGATTCCATTGTCGACTATGAGGGATGCTCACCTGCCGCCCTTGATGGGCATAAAACGTGCTTGCCAGCTTCGTAGCCAGCACCCATGGAGCTGAACCTCGTCTCCCGACGCGCGTAACGCCACTGCCTGGTTTTGCCCTGACTGACCGCCACAGCCTGGCCTTGATTGGTTGGCGATGACAATGTTAACCGTAATAATGCCTGAAGCCTCCACCTGGGAACATTGTGTTATGGGCAATGATTGGCACAACCAGAGACTCGAAGTTGGCATTGGCACAACCTTGAACTCAGCAATCTCTTACCTGAACTGTCGCACAATTGTAAGCGTTGTATACAAGAGTCGTACGATCGCCTAAGGCGCACAGTATACGCGGAGGCTGAGCCTTTCCGTTGAATGCGTCGAAACAGATTATTGTTGACCATGAAGGCCCAGTTCCGATAAATCTTATGCATTTTTTGGACGATGGAACTAGAACCTGACGGGAATGGTCACACATGGGGGCAAAAGCAATGTTAAGCTTAGCGGCTCACTGGATAACGCTTGAAACGTAAAAAACAGCAGTATCCTGCAATCTGGCAAATCTGTAATCAAAATTCGTTGCTTATGGTTCGCGGACCTGTTCGAAGTAAGTGCCTGGGTCGATCTGAAATGATCGTTGGTTGGCCTTTGCCTGGGACGGCGTCCACTGCATCTTGAATGCCGGTGAAAGGGGCGGAGCCGTCTAGCGCAACACGTAGAGTAAAATGCCCCATCACCAAGTACGACGGTTGGTGCAAAACCTAATCACGGTCACTGCAATCTCGTGCTATTTGGCGGAATATTTAGCTTTCTGACAAGTGGACATACGAGAAAGACGATTGACGATCTGGGTAATCTGTGAATTCAGGAAGATGCTTGTGGTTCAGGGGGTACAAACATAGGCCATCTTAGCAATCTAGTCATCGTTGTCCTCTAAGTCAATCAACTTCACCAAAGCGCAACTACTTTCTCCCTCCCAATTGGCTGCCGCTAAGTCGAGTTTAGAAGCCAATCGACAGCCTCCTGCCTCTTGAAGCATGACATTTCCCCTCAAAGCCACCTTCACCGTGACAGACTCTGGAGTGTCCAAGTCCACCACTTCTTGCTGGCCACCAGACACCCATCTATCTGGTCCAGCATGAACATTCTCTCTTCTCACGAGCTTGCCAGGGCTGTCACCGTTACCCAGGTGAATCAAGTCAATGCAATCACTCACAGCCTTTCCGCCATTGCGTATCCCAACTGACTCAACCGCGGTCGTTGAATCCTGCTTGTCATTTCGCAGGGTGGTCATGTTTGTCAAGTCAATCAATGGACCCCCTCTCCGTTGCTGAGCGTTTTGTACTGCACCACGGTCCTGCACCCTGCTTCTCTTTCCCTTCTGCTGCTCCTTGGGTGGGCAGTCCTCCTGCTGCCAAACCCACAGCAGCCTATTCTCATTGCTTTTCACTGCTCCCCTGCTTCTGCTCTCCACAGGCTTCACATCTGCTTTCTGGCAGCGCTTCAGCATTCCCACTTCCTGTCTTCCCGCTTCAACCACATCCTCCTCATGGCTCGCAATCTCAACAATCTTCTTCATCTGATGCACCGCTCCCCTTGCTCGTGATTTATGATTCTGTGCAGAGGATTGAGCAGCCTGGTCGCTTTCGATCTGCCTGAACCTGGAGGGCAAGCCCAACTGATCATAGAGGCTGGGCTCCAATCTGCTGGGTGGCTCCCTGTCTCCCTCCAAATCAGCAAATGCACCTGCATCTGCACCGCTTCTCTCACCACTGCTGCTGTCATTAGCTACTGAAAACAGCGATGTACGTGACCACTCTGTCACTGAATAATCTGTATGGACTGGTTGCCTTGCCACACCTTGTGTCTGCTGGTACTCCGTCTCATCCTCCCACTCTGTATATCCGCCACATACATCATTACCAGGTGCCTCTCCCAAGCCAGTCATGAACTCACTCTTCTCCGTCGTTTCCTTCGCCCCCCTCGTCTCCGTTGCCTTCTTCTGCTGTTTTCCTCGGCCCTTCTTCCTTCCAGCCTCCTTCTCTGCTTCGTATGCTCGCACCATTTCCGGATGAACTCTGCCAGTGCAACAACGAAGCAAATTTACATCTGGAAACAAGGAACACGCCTCAAGTCAAGACAGGACAGACTCCTGACGACAAATCCAACACCAACCACTTACCTGGTGAGCAGTTCTGCCCGAACAACCGAGTTTTCAACTTCAGGCTGCCCAGTCCATGAAACCTCAAACATTCTATGCCCAGCCACCCACCGCTCCTTCACTATGCCACCCACTCTGTACCTCACTCCATCCAGCATCCCCCCCACTTCATCCGCTTTCCTGGAAGATTCCCTCCCAGGTGTCACGCAGATCTCTGCTGCCTGCTGCACCAGGTGCAACCGCCTGAGGTCTCGTTCTGCCAGCTTGGACCCAATGTATCGTGCTGAGTGTGATGGAGACAGGGGGCGGGGGCGGTTGGAGCGTGGCAGGGAAAGAAGAAGGGAAAGGATGGCATCTTGTTCTGCTAACGTGAACCCAATGTACGATGCTGGGTTTAGTGGGAGTGGGCTTACTGGGGCCTGGCCATTGGGGTGGTTGGAGCATTGGAAGGGGGGGGAGGTGAAGAAGTGAAGGTTTGATGGTGATGGGGCGAGGGAGAATGAGCAGGGGGTTCAGACGAAGAAGATTAGGCTTAAGAAGGAGAATAAAGGGAAGTGAGAAATGCACGTGAGGGCATATGGTAGACAATCAACATGGGATGGCATACGCACCTGTGACATCAGCAGGCCATGCCATGTGCCGGTCACAGAAAGCGACGATGTCAGCATGTGATGGGCTGCAGTGCTTCTGTAACGCACTGAACCATGCGCAGTGGGGTCACGGAGGGGAATGTAGATAACAATGGCAGGGATGGTGACAGGGAGGGAGGCTTGGAGTTTTCATGGAGAGTGGGGGGCATTGAACTTGTCACTTGAGTGGTGGCATCATATGCAGCATACAAGTATCAATGGTTGCTGGCATTATGATGTTTTTTCTTATCATATCTCACCTGAACACCACACACATATTGCAGGCACTCCAGCTTTCCTTGAATCACATCCCAGTCTCCACAAAAAGCAATGCAACACAACAATGCATGTAATGAGTGCTCACCTCGTGACTGCACCCGATGCAGCGCCGTGACATGGTGGGTTCAGAAACGCCTCTATCACCCTCGCAGCATCCTCCCTCGCCTGCTCTTCCCCCTCCTCCTCCACCTCCCTCGCCCCTTGCTCACGCCCTCGTTCTCCTGCTGACGGGTTCCCCTCTGCCCGACTGCTAATCCCTGTACCAACACCAACACAACCACTCATACCGCTCTCACTCAATCCTATTACACCTCCCCTGCCTCTCCCTTCCCCGTCCCCAACTCCCGTCCTCCTCTGCTGTCCCTTCTTCCCTTGTGCCCCTGCGCCGGGTCCCACTCTTTTGCGAGCTCTGGGGGCAGAAATGGCAGCCAGGCCTCTTTCTCTGATCGCTGTCAGCACGCCATCTTCACCCAGTGCTGCCACCCTCTGCACCGCACCTTGCTGGTGGGTAAAGTTGGGAAGAGGAGGTAGTAGAGGGGGAATCCGTGGTGAAAATTGGGATAGAAGTGGGCTAGAGACTAGGATGGAAACGGTTAGGATGCGTGACGAGGTGCCCAGTGGTTACGACCCAAGGGGAACGAGTACAGTAGGGAAGTTACCCTGGCACGGAGTGTGGGAGCACCAGAGACGCCCTGTGAGTAGTCTGAGCCTAGAAAAAGCCCCATGGCGATCTGAACAACAACGGGCCGGGAATTAGAGGGGAGCACAGAACGACTGAGACAGATTGAGCAGTGAGTGAGAGGAGTTGGGATCTAGCTCTAAGTTTGAGTGGTCGTGGCACAGCGTGGTGCGATTTGGCGTGGTACAGTGTGCAGAATAGCGCAACACGGTAGCACATCTCGCGAGTGAGTTTCGGCCGAGGCTGAGCGAAGCTGTGATGTCCGCTGCAGTGTAGAGCACAGCACAGTTGGCACCTGGCGTCAGGGCAGCAGGGAGGGCAGTAAACACATGCACAGAGGGGTTTGGTCCAGGTACAAAGGAAAGGAAGAGGGGGATACAAGGTGTTTGCACAGCAACCATGTCTTTCCATCCCTGCCACACTCTCCCAGGATTCACGTGTGCAAGCAGGTGCCATGACCCAAGGCCATGGCTGCTCCCTTTCAGCCCATTCCATTCCAGCACATGCCAGACCAACACACCACATTCTCCTAATACGTGCCTTTGTGCAGGCAGATATCACGAACCACGGCCTTGGCTCCAAATAGAAACGCGTCCGAGTCACCCGTACACACCACATCCTGATGCAGTGGTGCATGTTTCAGGGTGATGGATGGGATGAGTGTGGTGGGTGTGTGTGGGGGGAAGATGAGCAGAGAGAAGGGTAGCGGAGGGTTGTTATGTCTTTGTTTAATCAGATGAGAAGAACGAGCAGGAGCACAGGGAGAAGAAACGGAAGGGGAGTGAGGGTATGGGAGGGGAAGCCAGTTGAGGGGGGCAGAGAGAGTGAGAGAGGGCATGGTGAGAGAGTAGGCGAGCACTCACACAGACGCCAGATGCATTGAGCAGTGCGCACTGTGCCTCTGCCTCCTCGGGACTGGTTGTGGGAGTGCAGTGGAGGAGGGGAGGGGGGAAGAAGAGTGACGAGGGGATAAGAGGGGAGGAGATTAGAGGAAGTGGGACACAGTGACGAGAAGAGGAGCCCAGAGCCAAGGCTATGAAGCAAGCCCTGGCATACAGCAACGGGAACTCGACATGTCCGTTTCGGTGCTATGGGAAACAAACGGCTGCCAAAACAGTGATGTCTCACCCACAAAGCACAGTCATTTCCATAAAGCACACCCCCCCCACCTGTCGATGCATGGCACTCCCCATGCTGCTCCCAGCGCCTTCGCGTCCGCCACCATGCGCCCAAACTCCGTCCCCTTTTCAGTGCGCCCTCAGGGGCGCGGGTGGGCTGGGGGGAGGAATGGGGGGGAGTGCGGGGAAGGACGGAGAGAAGCGGAAAGAGAGGTGGTGAGTATGTGTGCCAGCGTGCAGCATGGTGCATGGCGGATGGTATTATGAGAACAACGAAAATCTTCGTGATTGGATTAAAATATAATTTTCCACCTTGTTAGCAGGCTGTGCGCGCGAGTCTGCACCAGTTGCTGCCGCTGAACCTGCGGCAGTGGCTGCCGCGGGACCTGCGGCAGCGGACGTGGTAGTGCCTCGACCCGCTGTGCGGCGCCAGTGAGGGTGTGACGTGGCGGCATCGTCCGCCCTCCTCTGCTGGTACGTGGCGCGCTTGACGGCTGGCACGTCGCCAACTGACGTGGGATATGCCGGGAAACGAGAGGTTTTAAGAAGGGAGGGCGACGGACGAGCGGCACAAGGGGCGGCCAATGAAAGGCGTAAGATCTGGGATACGGCCTAACGAACAGGCAAGGAGGGGTGGCGAGAGGAAGCGAGCCAGCAGCGAAAAAGATGGGACAGGTAACCCGAGCGAGTCGCAGCCAATGCAACGGAAGAAGGGACGGGAGCGGGTTCAAGTGCTAGCTACTATACCTGTAACGAAGATGACGTGGCAGTTGAGCGCTTTCAGCGCGCGCAGGCGGTGGAATATTCCGCGAAGGTGAGGCTTCTGATTGCTCTGGACGCCTGCCTGCGGTGGGCCGTTTTGGCAGCTAGCGGCGAACTGAACGATCCAATAGGAGAGATCCACGCAGATGGTCTTGTTCCTGCGCGCACGGCGACGGCATTATATGAGGCTCGGGATTCAGGTTAGAGCGCTCGCAATGAACAATTCATTTCTATACTCAAGCATACCGCTAGGCGTGCATTGGCAAGCGGGCTGTGCTAGTCGGGTCTTACTCAAGATCTTCGAGCGGAATGGTTCGCCTCGCCGGCTCGAGAAGCGACCAGAGGCTTTTAACTCCCATGTTCCGGCAACAACTACGGAATCGTCGATGGAGGAAACCCCTGAGGCGTCTATTTCTTAGGCGACACAAACACAAGCATCAATGGAAGGAAATCTCGAGGTTTCGAGGACGCCCGCTGGCGGTGACAGAGTTTCTACAGGGGCAGAAGTAGGCGGAGAAGCGTTTGCGTTAGGTACGTCAGAGGAAGTAGTCAATATCGTGGATGCGTTGAGATTAGTGCGACTGTCGTCCGTTCCTGCTGTGGTGTTGAGGTGGATTAGTGGGTTGGTTGTGGTGGTGGATGCACGAGAGGTGGACGGAGCGCGTTTTTCAAAGGGTGTTGATTGTGTCAGAGGGGAGGGGAGTTGATTGTGTCAGAGGGTGTTGATTGTGTCAGAAGGGGCGTTTGGCGCGAGTCGGTGTGATTGGTTGTGTGGAAATTTGGAAATTCTGCAAAAAATTCACGGGGTATCCCGCGAGTTGTGTTGCTGATCATACAGTACGGTTCAGTATGTTTTTCCATGGTTTAAGTCGGTAAAACACGGATGGACCGCGAAGCACCAGACAAAACTGTGGTACAGAGTTTTTGCCTGGGAGTAAATCGCGAATACCACTTGCGAGTTATGCGATCCACGAGCACTTCGTCTAGATTTCGCAGCACAGGGCACGCTCTCGCTAACAACCTCATGTGCCACACACACACAGGTGGAACCGGACGGAGGCGAAAAATGGGGATTTCGCAAACCGCATGTGATGCTGCAAACATGACGGATCCACACCACATTAGACCACACCAAATCCTGTGCCTGATTATTTCTCAGTAGAAAATCCGCGACCGTCCTTATCCGTTTCCACGACTCAGAAGAGTACTTTCCTCCTCCGGTCTGGATTGCACGCTATGTCTGTTAGCTTAGTATGTTAGGTATAAGTACCTTTATCTCGCCATATTAGGCCCATGCTCGAATGATTTAGTTCGACAACTGCTATCCACTACTTGGTCGTCAATACCCCAAGAGCATCGTTTCTGCAATCGCAGTAGCCCACCTGTTTCGATCATGGAAGGAACTCTCGTCTCCTCGACCGACTGTATCGATGGTATCTGCGTGGGTTCTTCCCCTCGCCCCCCTCCACGTCAGTGCACGCCGACCCCCTTCCTCTCGTCAAAAGCACTGTTGAGGCTGAGTTGGCAGGCGCCGACGTGGCTGGGAGTGACGTGACGAAGTGTTGACGTCGCACGGATACGACTGGAAGACCTATTCTATGTGAAGGAATACTATGGAGAGCGTAGCGATAGCGAGAGAGTGATTCCACTAGGATTGTATAGTAGCGCCAGCAACTCGGTAGAGTTTCGGTAGAGCTTGTCTCCAAATGACTAGGGAATAAACCAAGTAGCAATTGTAATAACACTATGAATACAAAAGCAAACACACAAGATAGATATAGGCTACGGGAAGGTTTCACAAAGTTGGCGTGGCGCTGCGGAGTAACCCAACCCCACGAAAGTGGTGTGTGGGTGAGCGAACGCGCCTCGCCAATTTCCCAACCCAACTCAGCAGCGAGGTCAATGCCGAGCACGCCCTCTCTTCCAGCACGGCTAGAAGTGGCGTAACTCACAGAGAACCACCCACAACTGCCAAGACTCATGCCCACGACTTCCCTAGACTAACACCACCCCAGCAATGACTGTTTAGTGCTGCCGTAGTCACATCGCGTCACCACGCAACCATCGCCAAGTCATAGGGTCGGTGCTGGGCTGCTCGTCTTGGTCGTTCATAGTCGACCTGCCAAGTCAAACGGTCGTCGAGGGCCCTTGCTGTCGTAGGGCCCTCTAACACTCCCCTGCCATACTACAGCAAGGCCCTTTATAATCACAGGGCGTACATACACACATACACGCCAAAACAAAGGGACACAAACACACAAACGAAGCACTCTCAAAGTGCAAACATTCACCGCACCAGCCATGGATAGGCCATGTCACCATACCCATCATGGAGTGCCTAGGTCTCACTCCCCTCGCTCGAGAGCCTCACCTGCCCCACAGCCTCGAAGCAACGGCTGAAGGCGGGGAAATGCAACGCCTTTGTAAGGTAGTCAGCAGACTGCTCGCTCGTAGAGATGTACTGCAGCTGCAGCTTCCTGCGCTTGACCATGTGCTGCAGCCACATGTGGCGACGCTCCATGTGCTTGAGGCTCCCCTTGAGCCCCATGCCACCTGCCACTGAAATGGCGGAGGAGTTATCCACAAAGAGAGTAGTGGGCTCCTCACTCCTCAGCAGTTGAAACTCTGCCAGCAGGAAGCGCAACCTGCACGCCTCCTTCCCAGCCTCCACAGCAGCAACGTAGTCAGACTCAGTGGAGGAGAGGGTGGTCCAACGGATCCTCTGACTCGCCCAAGAGACAGCAGCACCCCCGAGCACGAAGACATAGCCACCTGTGCTGGTCCTGTTCTGCTTGTCCCCTGCATCATCAGCATCGGCGTAGCCCACCAGCTCCAAGGACTCCGGCCCACCACCAAACTCCAGAGCCACATCCCTGCTCCCCACCAAGTACGCCAAGCACCGGTCCAACTCCTTCCAGCTTTCTATAGGCGAACGAGATGTCGGGACGGGTGGTACAGGCCGCAAACTGCAAGGATCCCACCTTTTGCCTGTACTCCTCCTCCTGGCGAGACTGCCATCCCACATTCTCGAAGGTCCGCACACTGAAAGGGTCAGAGGAAAGAGGGGTGCGAGGCACTCGCAGCGGCTACTCCCCGTCAAAGAAGCGCCTATGGACCTTGTCCACATAGGCCCCCTGGTGCAGCCACAGCCTCCTCGTAGGCCTGTCCCGAATCAACTGCCCAGATACTTCTCCACAGGGCTAATCTCCCGCAGCTGAAAGGCACTCTGCAGCAGGTCACGCAGCTTCCCCAGCATGCTCTGACTGCGGCTGGCAGCAAGCAAGTCATCCACATACACTAGCAGCCAGCACATCTCCCCCTCAGCATCACTCTTGAAGTAGAGAGCCTCATCCACTTGGCTCTTCTTCCATCCAGCCCCAAGCAGCACCCCATCCAAAGCCTCATACCATAGCATCGGGCTCTGCTTGAGCCCATACAGACTCTTCACCAACTTACAGACACGAGGAGTCCCATCCTCGTAGTAGCTCGGCTGCTCCATGTAAAGGTCTCGGTCCAGCACGCCATGGAGGAACGCGTTCTTCACATCCAGCTGCATAAGGTCCAAATCAAGTGCAGCTGCAATCGCCAGAAGCACACGTGCCGTCACATAGCTTCCCACAGGGGCGTACGTCTCCTCATAGTCCACCCCTGCCACTTGTGTGAACCCCTTCACCACCAGCCTCGCCTTCTCACGCTCCACTATCCCATCTGGTCGGAACTTGGTGTTCGGAATCCAGCGGTTCTTCATCACATTCACCCCTGGAGGACGCGGAACCAACTCCCACGTCCCCTGCTCAATCAAGCCCCGCATCTCCTCATCCATCGCCTCCTTCACCTTGTCGCCCTTCCAGCAGCCCAAGGCCTCCTTCACTGTCATCTTAGCTATATCCCACTGCCTCTCAGGGTCGGCCACCACATCTGGGTCCAGGTCCGTCCACTCCTCGTCCTCCTCCTCGTCATCCAAACCCGCCGGCTCAATCACTACTGCCCAAGCATACTTAACAGGCGGGACACCACGAGTGATGCGAGTGGAGCGACGCAGCGGTGGTGCAGTGATCGTCCCAGAAACCAGCACACGACCACCATCTCTAATTCCCCACATCTCCTGCTCCCCTGTCTGCGGGTCCCCTGTCTGCTGCTCCCCAATCTGCTCCTCCCCTATCTGCTGCTCCCCAATCTGCTGCTCCCCTGTCTGCTGCTCCCCTGTCTCCTGCCCCCCACTCTGCTGCACTCCATCCATGCTGCTCTCGTCCTGCAGCTGCTCAGTCACAAGGCGCTGCCCGTCGGTGATCATCACAGACGGCGACACCACTGTCCCCCCCTCACCAACGAGCGGCGCCGTGGAAGACGAAGAGGAGGGTGGGGCAGGTGCAGGAGGGATGGAGGGTGGAAGAGGAGAGGGAATGAAAGGAGGAGGAGGGGTAGCCAAGGGGGGTGAGGATGGAGGAGGCGCAGTAGGAGGAACCACACGAGGGTACACAGTAGGAGGAGGTGGGGTGGGGACTGAGGTAGGGACATAGGGCAGAGCAGGAGGTGCGACCACTTCCTCCTCCTCCACCTCCTCCTCAAGAGTGTCCGGGAAGAGAGGAAGGGGCTCATAGGGCATCGGACGCCCTACATGCTCCTGCTGATGCCAAGCCTTCCATCCTGCCAAGGACATGGTCTCATAGAAAACTGCTTCCACAGTGGTGATAAGGCGGTTGGACTCCAAGTCCAGCACGTGCCAGCCCTTGCTCGCTGCTGACACCCCCAAGTGCAACCCCCAACGAGCCTTAGGCGCCAGCTCCCCCCCGCGCGGCGACTGCGGCACCATGTACTGCACCATGCAGCCCCAAACACGCACCATGCTGACATCGGGTTTGCGTCGGAAGGCGAGCTCGTACGGCGTCACACCAGAGGGGAGCGAGGCGTGCTCCACGCGGTTGCGCACCAAGACGGCCTGCAACAGCGCCAGGTGCCACCAGTGATGCTGCACACCCATGTGCAACAGCACCGTCCGCACCGCCTCCACAATGCTGCGCATCTCCCTCTCGGCCATCCCGTTCTGCTTCGGCGTGTACGGGCACGTGAGGTCGTGGATGATCCCCTTCTCGTCGAGGAAGAGCGTGAAGTCGTGTCCCAGGAACTCGCCACCCCGATCAGTGCGCAACGCCTTCACTGTGGTTTTGCACTGCCGCTCTGCCATCGGGAGCCACTTCTGGAACGCCGCCAGTGCATCACTTTTCTTGGCCAAAGGGTAGGCCCAGACGAACCGCGTCTTGCGATCCTTCAGCACCAAGAAGTAGCGGATGCCGTCCTTAGCTGCTTCACGAAAAGGGCCATACAGGTCAGCATGCACCACTCCAAGCAGCTCATCCTCCTCCTCACCCACGGAAGGAAAGGTATGACGAGTGATCTTCCCCCCAACACAGGAGACACAAGGCATGCCTGACTTGCCCCCCTTTTCCAACTCCAAGCCCGCCACTGACACGTGAGCCGCAGTACGCTCTATGGCGTCAACACCGACGTGTGCGAGGTGCGCATGCCACTTGTCCACCTTAGATCGCACGCCCGTCGCCAAAGTGCGCAGGGCCACCGTTTCACCCTCCTGCTGCTGCGTTGAGCATGGCTGGAAGTTCGTGCAGAGGACACGTCCCTTGAACTCCGCACGACCAAGGAGCGACCCATCTGGCGCGCGCAGCAGAGTCACGTCCCCGGCATCCAGCAGCTGCACGCCACTATCACGCAGCTGCCCAGCAGAAAGAAGACTCGCCTGCACTCCAGATACATACAGCACGTCCGGCACCGAGACACGCCTGCCCCCGTCTCCAAGGAGAGCGACTGTGCCTCGCCCCTGCACCTCCTGAGGAGCGCCGTTGAAGCCTATAACATGTTTGATACCGCTGCCGCCGCTGCTCATCTCCACAAAGGCAGAGCGATCTCCCATGAGATGGTGGGAGCATCCGCTATCCAAGAGCACGATGCTCGGGTTCGCCTTCACAGCAGCTGCAACAGCCTGTAAGCCCTCCCCGGCCTCATGCTCTAGCACGACGGGAGGAGTATGCTCTACAACGGGCTTCACCATCGCACATGATGACTGCCCGCTCCCTTTAGAGCCCTCACCCCCCTTGCTGCTCACACTGCTGCCTCCAGAACCATCTCCACCATTGTCTGCCTCCTTATCCGCCCGCTGCTGACAGTACTTAGCAACGTGACCTGGCTGTCCACACACATAGCACTTCCCCTTGAAGCCCCCTTTCCCCCCCTTCTGCTGGCCACCCTTAGCCCATTTCCCCTTCTCCCTTCCCTCACTAGCCCCACTCCCATGCTTAGGCTGCTGCTGCTGTGCCGTAGTGGGAGGGGAAGGGGATGAAGTCTGCTGAAAATAGGGCTTACCCTTCTTGGTAAACACTTGGTTAGCCTGGGGAAGAAAATAGGTCCTTCCGTCCCTCCGCCGCCAACGTACACTCCTCCTCGATGATGTAACTGGCGAGGGTGTCCTCGTCCAGCTCCTTGCGCACCTGCGGCAGTTTCAGCATCCTGCGTAAGAGGTTGTACTGCTGTGGCAACCCCTTCACGACGTGAGTAATGTACGACGCCTATGAGTAAACTACGCCGGCCATCCTCAGGTTCACTAGGATCTGCTGCGCACGGTTGCAATAGGACGTGGCGGACTTGTGCTCGCCCATCTCAAGGTTAGTGAGCGCCTGCTCTAACTGACCTATGTACAGGTCGTCCTTCGCCATGTACGTGCGCATGATAAACTGCCACGCCTGAAAGCCGGCATCTACCTTCATGCGACACGCCTTAAGGGCGATCTGTACGGTGGGGGAGCAGCATCGGGAAATCGTGGTGAACGTCAGTAACTGCATTGCGCGAAACTGTGTGACAAGCGCAACTGCATGCGCTGGGGGAGCAGGTGTGGTACCGTCGATGAATCGCTTAAGCTGGGCGATCTCAAGCTGAGGCTCGATGGATTCTACCCACGTTGACAGGTCGTGACGTCCTTCTAACGGCCTAGGTACGACGATCTTGTCTGGAGTGAATTTGAAGAAGCCATAGTTGGGGGCTATTCCCTCGTCCCTCGTCATCGATCCAATCGGGGTAACGCCCGGCATAGCCTCACTATCGTACTCCTCCGCATTCCCTCCTCCAGCAACGCTCCGTCGTCCTACATTCGCACGCTCTCGTGACGCCGCCGCTCGATGAACACGCTCCTGTACACCGCCGACTCTAGCCGTACTAAACCGAGTCGGTCCTCGCAGGACCCCACGCGACATCAACCCATCAAGCTCCTCGTCATCGCTATTTCCGCCATCGACATCCATATCCCACGCACTAGTACCTCCCACAGCTTGCTCAACATTCTCTACACGTGGCGAGGGATGATCGCGACGCCGACGAGCGCGTAATCCCTCCTGCATGAGCTCGTACTCGATATCACTAAGCTCACCACGAGAATGACGGGCTACGAGATCCTCCTCTAATGCGCGAATATTGCCGGCCTCAACGTCCGCCTCCTCCGTACTCATCCTCTACGACGTAAGGTGCCACAAATTAAAATAAAATGTTCCTTCCTTAAATCCCTCGTCTCGGGGTCACCTCACAAGGGTCCTCAGACGAGTGGTAATGAATTACCAAACGCCCTATCCTTGTGTCCGAGAGCGTAACTGGAGGGAAATTAAGAGAGGTCCAACTTAAATTAATAAGCGCCCTTCACTAACGCCGCACGCCAAGGCGAGTATACTAACGAACGTCGACGGAAAGCTATGCGTGTTCGTTCCACGCTCACCGCACCATGAAGGAATACTATGGAGAGCGTAGCGATAGCGAGAGAGTGATTCCACTAGGATTGTATAGTAGCGCCAGCAACTCGGTAGAGTTTCGGTAGAGCTTGTCTCCAAATGACTAGGGAATAAACCAAGTAGCAATTGTAATAACACTATGTCAAACTTATATGCTCTAGTCTGTGTAGGTTGTAGTGGGGTAGTTCATATGGGGTACAACACTTTAGGGTTTCCTACTTGTACTCCTCATGCTGCTCAATGCAATCATTCCTCGTTCTTTGTTTTCACATGGTTTCAGAGCAGGTTCCCTAGTGGGAACGATTTTTTTTTTAAGGGCCCACCACGATTTTTTTTCCTGCCCTGCCCGAAGCGCCCTGCCGTGCCTGCCTGCCCCGTCACGCGCCTCGCGCCTGCCTCACCTGCGCCCTTGCGCCTGCCCTGCTGTGCGCCGTCGAGCGCCTGCCCTGCCGTCGCGGCCCTACCGTCGCGGCCCTACAGTCGCGACCCTACCGTCGCGGCCCTGCCGTCGCGCGCCTGCAGCCGCTGTCGCGGCCCTGCCCTACGCGCCCGTCGTGCGCCCTGCCTTGCTGCCTGTCGCGGCCCTGCCTTGTCGCCGCCCGTCGCGGCCTGACCCGCCGCCCGTCGCGGCCCTGATTTGCCGCCCGTCGCGGCCCTGCCCTGCCGCCCTACGTCGCGGCCCTGTCCTGCCGCCCGCCGTCGCGGCCCCTGCCCTGCAGCCGCCGTCGCGGCCCCTGACCTGCAGCCGCCGTAGCGGTCCTGCCCTGCAGCCGCCGTCGCGCATGCAGCACCCGTCGCGGCCCTGCTCTGCCGCCGTCACGCCTGCAGCCGCCGTCGCGACCCCACCGTCGCGGCCACCGCCGTCGCCGCCGTTGTGGCCCCGCCGTCGCGCCTGCCCTGCCCGCCCCTGGTGAGCACCTGCCCTAAGCGCGCTACCCGCGCCTGCCTGCCGGCCGAGCCGCGCCGCCCAGCCAAGCCGCGCCGCTCTGCCGAGCCGCGCCGCCCAGCCGCGCCGCGCCGCCCTACCGAGCCGGGCCGCACTGCCCTACTGAGCCGCGCTGCCGTGCCCGCGCTGCTCCTGCTGCTACTGCTCTTTCTGCTGCTATTGCTGCCACTGCTGCTACTGCCGCCATGGCTAGCCCTACGGTTCTTACCTTCGATGCTGAGGGACGTGCAGTTGACTTCAATGTCTGGGTAGATGATCTGCAGCTGTTTCTTCGGTGCGATAGCAAGGACGGAGTCTCGCTTTTTGATCTCACGTCTGGCGCCTCTGCTGCACCTGCTGCCGATGCTGACAGTACAGTTCGCTCGCAGTGGACTACTCGTGACGCTGTTGCTCGCCTTGCTGTTCGTAGTCACCTGCCTTCTGCTGAGCGCGCGCATTTTGGCCAGTACAAGACTGCTGAGTCTTTGTATGACGCTGTCGTAGCACGCTACTCCTCCCCTGCCACTGCTGCCCTCAGCCGCCTCATGCTGCCGTACTTGCTCCCTGACCTGGCCGCCTTTGCCACAGTCGCTGACCTCATTACCCACCTCCGCACTAGTGACGCCCGCTACCGCGCTGCCCTTCCCTCCGAGTTCTGCGCCAAGAACCCCCCCCCCATGTACATCACCCTCTTCTACCTAGTCACCCGTCTCCCTGACTCCCTTTGCTCAGTCAGGGACCACTTTCTCTCCCTTTGCCCCACCGAGCTCACCGTTGACCTGCTGGAGAAGCGCCTCACTGCAGCTGAGAAGAGTATAGTTGCTGTAGGTGCTTCTCGCGGCGACCCTCGCGCCCCTTTCTTTGAGGGGTGTTCCCCCGTTCCCCTTCTGCCCTCTG